AGAATACTGGGAGTAGGACTTGAGAGAAGTAGAGAGCGTGTGTTGGAGAATAAGGAGGTAAGTGGAGTGTGGTTCTATTGGACACACATTATTTTAAGAAAAGAAATAACCCCAATTTGTCTCCTTTTAAGTACACTTTTTACTACTCCCCAGTAGATTAAGTGGATTACTTTTATTATGAAGTGCTCCTTCCACCACAGTTTGAAGAACTAAGACTCTCTAGAGAAGTAGATTAAGGTAGAAACTTCAGAAATTAGACCTAGAAGGACTTGAAAATCATCAAATATTAACGCTTAGTGAGAGACTGAGAGAGAAAGAGACAGAGAGAGAGATGTTCATTTTAACTGTAGCACTTAACCCGGGATGCAGAAATAAAGATGTGGCTCAGAAATCTGGAAATATTGGAAATGGAGGGCAAACTAAGGAAAATTAAGGAAGAAGCATATCTAAATTGTCAAGTCAAAAATATTTGTAAGTTATAAATGTGCAGTGATTGTTTGGCAATGACATTGTCTCCATTGGGAGATAGACTATTTCTCCGAGACGATGTCTTAACAGGGTCAGGGCATCACCTCCTGTGAGAGATCCAGGAATTACAGCCTCTCTTCTGCCGTCAAGCAGGAGGAATTATTGAGTGGAACAATTTTAAAACTGATAAAATACATATGAGAGAAATCAATTTATGAGAGAATCTTGAGTTTTTTTTATTTTCTATGCTAGAGTCTTGCATAGTTTAGAGACATCCTGGCCTCATCCAATCCCAGGCAAACAAAAACAAATTCCAGACAAACCCAAAAATGCCCATGGGAGACTGACAGCAGAAAATGAATTGACATGGGAAATGCATTCATGGGTTCACCTGCCCATAGGAAAGAAGCAAACTGCTTAAATCTCTCTGGGGAGAATGTGAGTAGATATAATTCACCTCGGTTCTGTCTCCTGAATCATTATTTGTGTCTGTGGGCAGGGAGTTGGGTTCAAATGATGGTAGGAAAGCCCCTTCCTTGCAGAAGCAAATCTCCCATAAAGTTCAGTGATGAGAGCTGTGTATCTGGGCTTCCCTTCCCCATGAGGCGCCTTTAGAGAGGAGATTCAATTCGAGGCTTCTCTGTGAGCTTTCTTCTAAGCTCAAGGCCACATTTGATAAAAGAACACAGATGGTACCACTGTAAGGAAAAGTGGCTCATCAGCCATGAGCAGGGGTCTGCAGGTGGGTAATGGGAGTGAATGAGATCACTGGCTCCAGGGATCAGTGACTAAAAGCCTTCCATGTGTGGTCCTAAGCCTGTCTTTATAACTAGGGTCCTGAGGGTATCACTAGGGACCACTACCTATCCCCATGGTGTGGCCACAATGGCTCTGTTCGTCTAGGACCCTCCATCCATGTCTCACTCATCATCCTCATGTGGCAGCTGTTGGCTTTGTCATGACTGTGTCAGAGGAGAGGAATCAGCTAACCATCCATGTGATAAATCAACTGGCTCAAAGGCGGCAAGGAACTGCAGGGACCTTGAGTACCAGGTGCCTCTTAGAAACAGAAGATGCTGAAGGCAGAGGAGAGTGGTTTGCTTGCCCTAAGACTGATCTTCCTTCCCTGCTGCTAAGCTCCTGCCCCACAGATTCTCAGAAACATTGTCTAACCAAACAGGTCCCATTTCTCACTTGTCCAGGAGACAGATGGCCTGGTCTTTTGGGGAAACTCAGTGTCTCTTTTTGTTCCTTATTTTGGCAGAGGAACATTATGATTCCTTAACATGTTTCCAAACGATTATTAGATCCAGAAGTTACCCTGCAATGATAGTTTTCAAATCCCTTAAAGTATATTTTTAAGCACATATTAAGGGTCTTATGTGAGTAAACTCATTTAATTATTTCAACTATCTTGTGAGGTAGGGTTTAGTATTCACCCCATTTTGCAGATGGAAGAACTGAGGAACAGAGAAGCACAGATTGGTCACAAAGCTAGTACGTAGCAAAGCTGGGATTTGCACCCAGGAAGTCAGGCTCAGATTTCAAGTTTTCTTGTTTGCTTCTTAAACTGTGCCTCTCGTTAGGGTCAAGCTGAGTGTTAAAGTAACAGTTGGAGATGGTAAGTAATTTCTGAGTAAGCATGAAAATTGGATAACTGTGCTTCCTGAGAACTCCATCTTTGACAGACCAGGGTTCTCACTCAGAGACTGATCAATGGAAACTTTTACTTTGGCTCACTGCTAAATATCCTGAATATGGCCCCCTTTCCTTTCGCAAGGGTCACACTCTCTCTCACATTGGGATATTTGGAATGGCAGAACTGCCATTTGAGTTTTAAAACCTGTATTTTCTTCTTCAGTCCAGGAGTGAAGTTACTGTAAAGGATTCTTCCGTTTCCTTTTTAAACAATTTTAAAAATCAGCATATAGAATCATTAATAGAAATGAAAGTAAAATGTATGCTTTTTAGTTTAAACTCAGAAATAACCATAAGAAAAGCAAGGTAGATGTGAAAGAGTTTACAATCCCGTGATTTTGTTGGATCTGTAATCCCAATGATTAGGAGTCTGCCTTCAATTTTGTGGTCTCCTTAATACTATTAATAACAGCTCACATTTATTTAACTCCTAATATATACCAGTTTAGTGGTATTTGTTCTTCACATCAGCCCATAGACATCTGTTGTCACCATGTACAGAGGAATTAGTGAAGCACAGAGTAAATTACTCAAGCTCACGTGTTCACCTTGCAGAATCGGGTTTAGAATGATGGTCTGACCAACATGTGAACCATGCTCCCATCATCTCATTCAGGGACCTTTTGTTTTTCAGGCCCTGCAAATTTTCATGTCGTGGAAGAGGAGAAAAATATATCCATGAAACTTTTCTCCTTATTCTGGGCACTGAAGATCTTTCTTTAATGTGTAGCTAGAGTGGATGGACACTTAAAGAAATCTTCACGTGGGTATCTCTCTGTGTATTGTATCTGTAAATCCTTAAAAATTTATGCAGTGTCTATGCCCCTGGAAGTCTCAGGGATTAAGATCTCTCTGAGATCCCAGTCAGCTCGATTCAGTGGGACTGATTAACACAACATTTGGTGTGTCTACGAAGGGCCATAATGCATTGTCATTAAATTTGCATTGTCCAGAAAATTGGGCAGATTCTCATTTCATCAATCTCCTAATTGGGACTTCAACATATGTCCTTTAAGTGTGCTCTATTGCATGAAATTAAAATACATCAATTAATAAGTCAAAGTATATCTATCAGCTCAGATAAAATCAATTCAATAGTATTTGAGTGACATTATAAGATATTTTTGGGTGCTCCAGTGAAGTGTCCAACCAAAACTTAGAGAGTTACTTTAAGAGGGCGACCTCCTTTTAATAGACACACCAAATTCATGTAGGCATAGACACACAAATTCACATGAAAGGAAGCAATTGTAGCTCAAATTTGCAATTTCATGGCACTCTGATCAACTGTGTCTACTAGTGGCCATACTGCAAGCATAGGAGTGTAAATAAAGGGAATTCACAGAGGCGAAGTTTGACACGAGTCCTCCGGCGGTATCTAGGGAAAGAGCAGAATTTCATGAGCCGACTTGGGATACAACGTTCCCGCTAGAAAGTAGGCTGATTCTAAGAGTCTTTTTCTAACAACCTGATGGAAAGATACCTGGACTTGATGATGACTAAATTCCCTGTCACTTCTGATTCTGCCTGTACAGGTACCGATTTTATTGTTGTTTTCATTTCTTTTGGTTTTTAACATGAAATGCCCAGAAGCTACATTACAGATAAGAAAACTAGAAGGGCTTTGAAATGTGCTCCTATCTATGACTAAAGTCACTTCCTTAGACCTTTGCTCTGCTTGTGCTCCCATTCACATTTTGGTGGATGTTTCCATAATTTTCAACTGGATTTAAGATTTGTTTTTACTTTTAGTCAATAGAAGATCTTGATCTTTTTCTCTATCTGTACAATTCAGAAAAAAATTCTATGAAGTAAAATGAAATTGAGGTTTTCAATATCTCCTTTCCTGTCCAATAATAGCTGTTTATCATAATAGAGTGACTTATTTCTCCCATTTGAAGCTCTAAGAAAATCAGCTCACATTTGAGATTCCTGTTAAAATTTGATGAGGGTTACTCTCAAGATGAGCAAAAATGATGGGCAACTATGGTTGTATATTACATTGTGGATTTTTCCAAAATGAAAATACCTTGTTTTTCTCATGATAATGCATACAGTGTATTAAAAAACAAACAGCAAATATGCAAACAATTTATAGAAGAGGTATACCCCTGCATAATCCTACTCTCTAAAGAGAAAGTGCAGTATCCTTTTTAACTTAAAGAATTTACCCTTATATGTGTAAATAGATACAGAAGACATGTGCTTATATTTTAAAATATGAATCAGATCATATTATATACACATGGTTTGACTTTACGTGGAAAACTTTTCCTTTCACTATATAAAGACCTATATTATCTTTTTAAATGGCAGCATTGTTTTCTGTGCTTTTTACAAAGTTGCAGAATATTTTAACCCATTCTCCAATTTATACACTTTCATGTTGATTCCAAATTTTAACCATAAACAGGATTACAATGAATAATTGACAATCTCTTGGTCACTGTGGTTTGAGGACATTGGATTTTTTCTGTTCCCAGAACTCACCAAGTCCTTCTTGCCCGGGGACTGGCTTTTACTGTTCTCTGTACAAAGAGCGGTCTATGTGGTTGCAGTCAGGGTGGACTCCCCTCCATTGTTTAGATTGCACCCATGTGTCTTCTCTTTGGAGAGACCTTTCCTGACAATCCCATCTACAGGAGCCCCTTCAAACCGGGTCACTGTCTATCATTTACCCTGTTTATTTCCTTCACAGGACTTTTCACTCTCAACAAATATCTTCTTGGTTTATTTACTCCTGGTGTTTTAGGAGTGGTAATTAACCATGACCTCTCCTTGCTGCAAGTCTGAAAAAATAAATTGAGAAATAGACACAGGAATCAGGTAGAAATTAAAAATACGTTTTATTAGCGAGGTTCATTGGAAAACATCGTTTATATCTTTAACAAAATTTCTCTCCAAATTACGATCACAATTAGCACCCCCATCCCCGCCCAAAGGGTCCAGAACATGCTCCCACAGGCTGTAACCTGAAGGTTAGAAATGTATCTGACCAAACAGGAGAACAGAGGAGGAGCATCCTCAGTGCCTTTTTCCTGTTTCACAAATTGTGTCAACTAGAGGACAGAGAGGGCAGGTGTGCTCCAAAGCGCTTCATCCAGGGTAGAGAGGCTCCTCCCCTCTGTGGGAATGTGAGGAAGAGGACGTAGTTGGACCACCTACTTGCTCAGAATATGTCTCCCCTTCAGAATATCTCCCTTATCCACTGCTGTGCCTCCAGAACCTAGAACAGAGATGGGAACAGCTGATGCACTCAAGGAATATGTGTGAGGAATAGTGGAAATATAAATTTAAACTGTATGAAATTATTCACATATCAAATTAGCAAAGGTTAAAACTGATAATTTGTAGTATTGGTGCCCAAGTGGGAAACAGGCGTGATTCTCACACACTGTCAGTGGGAGGAATTGGTACAAATTTTCTGCAAAGATGCTGGCAATAGGTATCATAGCTTTTAGCATCTGCAATTTCACTTTTAGAATATATCCTAATGAAATAATCAGGAGGGTAGGCAAAACTTCAATTTGAAAGAATATATATTCTCAATGCTACTAAAGGTAAGAGAAATAAAAACCACAAATTTCCAACACAAGGAAATTAAATGTTATTATAATACAATATTGTGCTAATTTTAAATGCTATCAGTAAAATATTACTTAAATACATAAAAATGTTCTGAATATTAAATGAAAACGGTAGTTAAAGAACAGTCTGTATGGGGCTGGCCTCGTAGAGTAGTGGTTAAGTTTGCGTGCTCGACTTTGGCGAACCAGGGTACGTGAGTTCGGATCCTAGGCATGGACCTACGCAGCACTCATCAAGTCATGCTGTCTTGGGGTCTCACATACAAAATAGAGGAAGATTGGCATAGATGTTAGCTCAGCAACAATCTTCCTCAGCAAAAAGAGAAAGATTGGCAACAGATGTTAGCACAGGGTCAATCTTCCTCATCAAACAAATTTAAAAAGTCAGTATAATATAATCCCAATTTTAAAATATGAATTGAGTATCTAAGTGTTTACTAAAAGAAATCATTGAAAGTACTTTTTAAATATTATGTTGGATTTGAAACATTACAGTAGTTTAAAAATAAAGATAGTTCAGCATGTTTCTAGAATAAATGTGAAGAAACATAAAGGGACTGCATGAGGTCACCTGGTCTCTCAACGTGATGTTGCCATCCAGCCCTTCAGGACCCTTTCTCCCTCTGCTCCTGGACACACCCAGGCACCTCCCAGGAGGAGCGCTCTAGAAACAAGTAACCAACTGATGCTGCAGCTGGTCCCACTCCCTGTGAGCTGCTCAGAATCCATCAGAACAGCAGGAAGCGGTCAGCATGGGAACAGTGATGAGGACGGTCTTCAGGGGATTGGATGACAATGGGAGTTGCCAAAGCTGGGAGGAAATCAAGAGGACGAATGATTCTCTCACACCAGGAAATAAGCTAAGCTCTGGGATTTGTCTCTATATTAAGTCATAAAAGGGAAAAGAGAGAACACCCAAACAAAATACAATTACTGTACAGTTGTCATCTTTATAGAAACGCACAGTTAATGCAAATATATTTTCTCCTTTTGAATTTCGTACTTGAAGAGGCTACCAAAACATCATCATGTATAACTGAATTTAGAATATTTGGATATGTTTATTATGTTCTTTCACTTATACTTCACAAAATATTCTTTCACTTATACATAAATTTCAGTATCAAGTGCTGATAAAGAAAATAAAACTCTCACAATAAAACTACAAACACTGGAGATGGAACAGAGGTCCCAGAAGATTCTAATGTATCAGATTAGGTTATCTTATAGTTCATTTTATTATCTATAAATAACTATATATATACTTATCATATTATTCCCTTGATTCAAGTGGCTTATTTTTCTGATTTATATGAGCACACTGAGTCAGTTTTTACAACGTATCTAAAAATAGACTATAGAAAACTTGCCAAAGTAATACATTTCTAAATGCTAACTCTGTAAGTTTCAGTAAATATTTTCTGTTTTGATGGCCTACAGCTCCGAGCTTCCTGTTGTGGACATGGGCTTATCTGTCTCTGCCACAGGAGCATGACAGACAACCAGACGTGGATCACAGAAGTCACCCTGCTGGGATTCCAGGTGGACCCAGCACTGGAGTTGGTCCTCTTTGGGCTTTTCTCTCTCTTCTATACCCTCACCCTTCTGGGGAATGGGGTCATTCTGGGGCTTATCTGCTTAGATCCTAGACTTCACACCCCCATGTACTTCTTCCTCTCCCACTTGGCCATCATTGACATGTCCTATGCTTCCAACAATGTCCCCAAGATGCTGGCAAATCTTGTGAGCCAGAAAAGAACTATCTCCTTTGTTCCTTGCATTATGCAGACATTTCTCTATCTGGCTTTCGCTAACACAGAGTGCCTGATTTTGCTGGTGATGTCCTATGATCGTTTTACAGCAATCTGCCACCCCTTACGTTACACTGTCATCATGAGCTGGAAAGTGTGCTTGGTCCTGGTCACCATTTCATGGGCATTTAGCTTCATTTTGGCTCTGGTCCATTTAATTCTCATCCTGAGGCTGCCCTTCTGTGCGCTTCATGAAATCAACCACTTCTTCTGTGAAATCCTGTCTGTCCTCAAGCTGGCCTGTGCTGACACTAGGCTCAACCAAGTTGTCATCTTTGCATCCTGTGTTTTTATCTTAGTCGGGCCCCTGTGCTTGGTGGTGGTCTCCTACACACGCATCCTCTTTGCTGTCCTCAAGATCCAGTCTGGGGAGGGCCGCAGAAAGGCCTTCTCTACATGCTCCTCCCACCTCTGTGTGGTCGGGCTCTTCTTTGGCAGCGCCATTGTCATGTACATGGCCCCCAAATCCCACCATCCTGAGGAGCAGCAGAAGATCCTTTCCCTGTTTTACAGTCTTTTCAACCCTATGCTGAACCCACTGATCTACAGCCTCAGGAACACAGAGGTCAAGGGTGCCCTGAGGAGAGCACTGTGCAAGGAGAGGCCAGTGTGAGAGACAGTGGAGATCATCATGGGGGTGGGGGCTTGGCTCCTTGTGAATATTGGTGGGTGGCATGTTCTGCCTTATGCTATAACAGATGCCACTTTCAAAAAGATTATAGATCTAAACATATAACCAGAAACCATAAATATTTTAAAAAATAAAATAGATGAATATCTTCATGACCTTGGGTAGGCAAAGATTCTCAGAGATGACCCAAAAATCATAAAACATACAATTTGAAAAATTGATAAATATTGGGCCTTTTTAAAATGACTCATTTTGTTCATCGAAGTCACTGTTAAGAAACAAGAAATGTAAGGCACAGACCAAGTATTTTGTATTTTTTAAAATATAATGGTCAGTCAGGTGTGGCCACAAGAGGAGACAAAGCAGAGGCTCAGGACAAAACACTTGATTATACTCCCAGGTCCTGGAGACGGGAGGTGGGGGACAGCATGCAAGGCCATATGGGCATGACACCAGAGTGGTCTGGAGCAGGAGACAGGAGTGAGGAGAGGTTTAGACCACCACCTTTAAAGGCATTTCTGCAGGAAACACCCAATAGAGATGGGAGATAAGAACAAGTTGGAGTTCTTATAACAGGTAAATCTTTACCACATAAAGAAAGATAATCGTGTAGCCTGACAGAGCAGGCAAATCCTAAAGCAGCGAATTCCTCTGATATTCGGAGCCCAAGTCATCCTATTTTCAATAATCCCCTTTGAAATCTCTCTGGCCTTCGTTCTCCCTTGAAGTATAAAGTGCTGTATAATAGTATATCTTACTGTTTTCTTCTTTTTTCTTGGTCCTCCTCAATCAGTTTGATAATCACCATGTGCACTTCTAAACTTCATACAACTGCCCATGCATTTCCCCTCGATTTTACCCATTTCTTGGTATTTAAATGTTCCACTCCCTAATTGCTCTGCAGTTTGGTTTGAAATATCTTTCTGTCATCTTCTCACAAGAAGATGTGAGCATTCATGGGCTTCCATCTGTCTTACTGAAAATGAGTATTAAAAAAGAAATGTAATGGAATATTTTTAAAAAGAAAGAACAGTTTGCCATTGTAAACTTCAAGGTCGTGGAATGATGAATCCCTGATCTCGAAAAGCAAAATAAAATGAAAATAGATATTTTTTAAAATAATAAAATAAAATATGACTTTTTTCTCATCAGTGGGATTTTCAAACCCTGACAAACTAGATAATATCTTAATATCTCACATCAAATTTTTAAAATATACTGCTCCCAAATGTGAGAATAAAGTAAGAAAAAAGTGCTTTTCGGTGCAAAATTGTAATTATTATAAAAGGTTAAAACACTAAGAGGGCTTTTCAGTGCAGCTGCTGAGAGAGAAAGCGGCCTGAGGCCCCACCATGCAGGCAGGGAGGCGGTGGACACTGCAGGCCCTACTGACAGCCTCTGCAAGGTGCAGCAAACCCATGAGTTTTGAAGATGCATGAAGGTCATCAAGATAAATGCTTCTAAAAACTTGTCATAGAGAAGACTGTGAAACAACTACTAGGGCCACAACTGTGTGTTACAAGAGGTACCAAAATTTACATCACATAGGTAGTTGTAGATGCATGTTCAGTCCTTAACCATGGTATTCCAAAATCCTTCACTACGCAAGTATGGTGTGCAACAGTTTGGAAAGTAAAAATGAAGAATTGACAAGAACAGATGAACAGAAGCAGACAATGAAAATTAATATTTTATTCGACATTGATAACATATCTCACAATAATTTATAGAGAAAAAATATATTAATGGGGAATTCTACTTCTGGTATGACATTGTGACAAGCGTTTGTGGACATGCTCCCCAGGGAAACTGGTGAAAGCTATTTTTAAACAACCAGTCAAACTCTCTGGAAATGGCCTGAAGGGCATACAACAAATGAAGAAACATTTCTTCAAGAAAATCTACTAAGATTCGGTCTGAAGAACAAGAGTCTGATATCTGAACCAAGGTCGGATGCCTCCTTCCCCCTCCTCACCTCATGGAGAAGGAAACTCCACTGCAGACACATGCAGCCAAGTCCACAGGGTTCCCCTCCCCCTAACTCCCCAACAGAGGGCCGTCTCCCAGGAAGGGAAGGACACAGCATTTCTCATCCAGCCTGAAAGACCTCAGCATTTCTTCATCTGCCCCAGAGCTAACTGCTACTGAGACTAAGTTCTGGGTGAATGAGGCAGGAAGTGGGGGATCCCATCTTCTGCTCAGCCCCCACTTATGGGACAGAGACTCTTCTTTGGGTACGGCAGTGCTGAAATATGGGGGCCTTGTTCCCCTCTAATGTGGTGGTTCCAAACCACAAGAGACAAGTCAAGAAGACCTGAGGCTTCTACCCCCCATCTACTACATACTGAGGCCCATTCCTAAAATGGAGATTTCAGGGAGAGTTATGCCATTGTTCTCACATCTAGTCACAAAATCATGACTCAGAGATTTTGCCTGGAGGTAAAATCAGGACAGCCATCAAATAGCTATTGATCTCTCCTAAAGAAGCTGACTCCACTTGCAAGAGTGTGGAGAAATTCAAGCCTACGAGTGCTCTCGAAACAATGGAGGTTGTGTGGAAAGGAGGTGGGAAGAGATGGTTACATCCATTGGAGATACAAGCTAATCTATTGACTGGCTCGTTTTCAGGAGAGAACTGGAGAAAGAAATAGCTGAGAAGGGCCCTCCAGGGGTCAGAAGGAAGCTCCAACACTGACCTCTGATGGATCCCTTCAAGAGAGTCCTAATTTGGTTGGATTTTTGTCTGGAGTAATTTATACTCTAGAGCATTGCCAAGAACAAGAGACTAATCAGCCCACAATAGTGGGGTTTAACAGCTGAGTGCGGTCAGAGAAATAGACAGGCAAAGTGAGACTTGTCACAACCACTCTAATCCCACGGTGACTGTAGGCATACCCAAGCTGTTACCCTCTGAAAAGCAACACCCTGTGATGTTAACACCTAAAACTGATGTGCTGGTGGATGGGAGAATAGACTTCATTAGAGTAGTCTACCTGTCGATGCCAACAATCCGTAACTACTCTATAAATCGGATTTGGGGTGAGTTTACTGTGAGCCAACCTTGAGGAACATAAACCCCAGAGAGTCCTTTCACAAAGAAATGGAGCACTCCAAAGAAGTGAGGGTGTACAGAGTGGTTGTATACTGTCAAAGAACACGTATATCATATGATTAGAATGTCCCTTTTATAATAGTCATGAGGTTGCTTTGCAGGAACAGCCATTTGGTCAACAGAGTGTGTCAATGGTCTCAAGATGGGTGGTCACAAAGTGAGCACAGCAAGTCAGCAATCAATCCACAGTTTGGGGAGAGATGCTTATCCTTAAGGAAATAATGATGTGGGGGAAGTTACATCCTTACGTATAAGGACATTGTTTTTGTCTTTGGGAAGTAGTAAATACTCAAAGCAGATTCACAATGGATGCTCAACAGCCACCACATCAGGCCCGTTGGGAAAAACAATGTCAGGTCAAATTACTTTTACACCAAATGGCTTCCTCATATACTCCAATGTATCCTGTTGCTTGTCATTTATTTATCACAGCCAATCAATAAACAAGTAATCAAACAAATAGTAACAAAAAGACCCAGGTCAGTTGTGAGAGAGGTACCAATACCCAGAGTTTTATCTAAAATGTTGAGTTTACAACAAAAACACTATGAGACATGTAAAGAAACAGGGAAGCAAGACCCTTACACTAGAAGAAAGCAGACAACAGAAACCACCTGTGAGAGTGACCAGATGTTGGATTTAACAGACAAGGCTTCAAAGTAGCCATTGTAAATATGTTCAGTGAACTAAAGGAAGCCATGATTAAAAGAGTAAAGGCTGTACCATTTGGACCACCACACTGCATTTCTTTAGAACAAAGATTGCATTTTACAGCCCATACTGCCAACAATGGGCAAAGACATATCACATCCAGTAGACATATTATGTTGCATATTGTTCTCTAAATAGTGATTTGTTAGAGAATTGGAGAGGGCCATTGAAACATTTGTAATCTACAATGGGAAGAGAGAGAGGCAGGAAGGATTGGTTTACACGCCTCTGTTAGTGTACGTTCACTGTCAAATGTGAGGAAGGCCAAGGAGTCCCCACTCAACAGCATCCTCCACTTTTCTGGGAGATTTGAGGAAAGGGGGTGAGGGAGGATCCTCGATCATACACAGTTCTTCCCCATATTATCTCCACTTTCTGTTCTCCTACCTTATGCTGTTGTCCCTGGGTCAGGGCTGCAACTGTGGTTGCCAGAAGCAGGGATGATCACTCTACAAGAAAATGTAGCTGTACCTTTAGACATTGATGCCAGAATTCCTGAAGGCTGCTGGGATGCAGGTGTTTTCACTCCATCAGGCAAAACTGGGGTTGACAGTTGTCAATGCAAATAATTCATAACCAATCTATAAAAGAAAATTGGGGTAAGTTTATTATGAGACAAATGTGAGGACCAGCTTAGCCCAGGGCCTTCCTTCCCTGTGGAAGGAAGGGCACCAAAGAAGTGGGTGTACAGAGTGGTTATATACCCTCAAAGAGCATGGTTCACATATGATTGAAATGTCCTTTGTACAACAATCACGAGATTGCTCTGTCTGCACAGCAACTGATGGACACAGCAGGTAGCAAGTCTGCTGTCTAGATGGACACAGCAGGAAGCAGATCTATTGTCTCACGCTGGGTGGTCACAGCGTGGGCACAGCCATCAATTCCTAGCCTTGGGAGAGAAGCTTATCATGAGGTAATGCAAATGCAGGGGAAGTTGCATCTTTATCTTAAAGCCATTTTTTCTTATCTTTGGGACACAGCAAATGTTTAAAGCACAGCCACATCAGGCCTTTTTGGAAAGAGAAGCTCAGGCCCTGTTAGATTTACACCAAATGCCTTCCTCATATTCTCCAATATATCCTATTGCTTGCCATTTATTTGTCACAGTGAATGCAGCTGTATTGCCTAGTGGTTGAGGAAGCCCACAAGTTCAGTGCCTGTGTAGTCAGACCCTATATGAATGGGAATGAACTTAGGGACACTTGCTAAACTAGTATTGCTCTCAGCAATCTGTCACAGCACAGTCCCTGAAACTAACGTCCCTTCCAAAGGTGGAAAACTGGATTCAACTCAACGATAAGTGGAGAAGAAGAGAAATAGTAGCAGAAAGTCAAAAAATGAATAAATAAATGGTAACACAATAAGGGAAATCTAATATTCAATGGTGCACCAGGAGAGGCTCACAGCTAGAGAATGATATTGTCTCTTAACACGATTATGCCAGATGCACAAAATGGTGAAGTCATAGGTTTCCCAAAACCAACCCCACTTTTGGACCCTGATAAGGTCAAATGGAAGCATGCAATCCTGAGTGGCATTGCACTGGCAAATATTTTGGTCAAATGATACAATGATAAACTGGACCGAATATAGCAGTAAACATTGACCCCTACCTTTCAGGTTGCTTCTACTACAAGGGATCTCATTTGGGAAGAAATTTTCAGGAACCACTCTCCACGTGGCCATCAGACCATGTGTTGTACAATTCGCACCAGACTGATCAGTGTGTAAGTATCAACTTTGATGATCAAATGCTTAGAAAAGTCCCTAGTTATAGTGGACAAAATATATAAGTTGCGTTCTTAGCATGCCATAGTGTGCTGTGCACATGTACCTTTGTTTTTGTGGATGGAAAGTTATTAAACAGAGGAGGAGAAGACAATGGATTTCTGTTATGAATAAAGTGTAGACTTCATATGCTGGGTATGAATTCCCTACAAAATAGCCCCACTCTCACAGGAGGATGGTTCTAGGAGGCCTTATGGCATACTCAGACTAAATTACATCTAGGTGGGACTACCACTTATCTAACCCTAGTAACAGGTGACTCAATATTGTGGGATAATAAAATATATATCATGACTGTACTCACCCCGTTAGTAGACAATGGCAGCAAGCAGCTTAATGGATTCTTCCACAAAACAACAAGTGGCTTTAGGAGAGACAGGTGACTATCTAAGCATCATTGAACAAGCTGAATTCACTTTTAATAAGGAATGACAGTCAGTGGGAAAAGATTTGTTAACCATAATGAGCAGATTAGAAGGAATTCTCTTCCAGGAGGAAGGCAAGGGATAGGAGCCAGCCTGGAAATATGATGAGATTTGAGTGAAATGGGTCTGGCAGACTCAACAAATAATGCTGGATACTGCTGGGGGTCAGTCCTGACCCAGCAGGACCTCCTGACTGTTTTGATACAGATGGAAGCTAAAATAACTACGGGCAATAGCCCTCTGTTCTAGCTGCTGAGGCCCAAGGAGTGCACTGCTGGGGTCTTACAGACAAGGGAACTTATTCAGGTTCTCTGGGGGCACTTGTAATTTTCGCTGATGCACCACGACTCTCTCCAAGACTAGATCAGAGGAAGACATGATCGGTAGTACAGTTAGGAAGAAAGGAACTATTCTGAATAACACCATGGTGTCCTCACCATGGGGCGGGGAGACAGAAGTGGGTCCCACTACGTAATAACACACTAACAAACTAGTTTCAATACAAGACTTTAAACTAAAATAAGGTAACTGGCTTTGTCCCCAACTATCTTGGAATCCATAAATAAGTGAATCACGGCTAATTGTAATCACACCAGTCCACAATAATAGTCTGGTATATGGACAAGAGTCAAATCTATGGAAAGGCTTAGCATAGACCTCCATAACTCTTATTGACTTGTTCTTAATAAAACTGAATTCTACCATGACCATTCTGTGATAAGGGTTACATTGGCATTGTGGTTAAGATTCAACTACCGTATGTAAATAAGTCATGTGACCACACTGGTATTGATGATCAAATGTGTTGGAAGAAGGAGTTAAAGCCTCTTCAGAATGTAACCCCAATGGGAAATGGCTGGCCTGAGAAGAACTTGATTTAGCTGAATCATCAGCTCATTTCTATGCTAAACAGTTCTGTACAAGATTATTGGAGGTACAAATACCACAGGTCAAAGAGAATAAGTAATCAAATTAGTATAAAAATATGAAAATGTATGTTTTCATATCATATAGGATTATATATATCATATATATATCATATTCATTATATATATCATATAGGATATAGCTATTTCTTTGAGTCTATCGCTACCCTACACTGGCTCCTCCAAATGGTAGGCATATTCATGCTATTCATGTATTCATATTCATATTCATGTATCTGTTACATTAAATCAACTACTTCTGTATCTGTTACATAAATGCTCTTCTAAATTCAGTTGCTCAGAAACAATTGGCCATTAGGCTGTAGGAGAGCCCAGGCCAAGGTCCAGGTGGGTGGACTATGAAAGAAAGGGTTACTCAGTTAAATTCACGTAAATTGAGAATTAAAAGAAACTTTAAAGTATCCTAATCTGGTCACTTAGAATAATACACAGAAATGGAAATTGTTCATTCTGAGTTAGGATTCAGAACTATTTTGATTATTTTGGGCAGGAGTTCTGGAGGCACATACAGCTGATAACAAAGATAGGAGAGACAGGATGGCATATTTCTGAGGAACATTACAGGATCTAAAAAATGAAAACACTGCTCAGCGGTTAAGAGAAAAGACCCTGTGGGGTAGGCAGAATGCTAAAGTTGCCACCTAACATCCCTGTCCCCTCACTATTTAATCAAGCACTAATCAGGGTACGACTGTGGAGGGATTTGGCAAATCAGTTGATCTAAAATGTGGAGGCTATCTGGGGGGCCTAACCTGATCAGGTGAGCCTCCTGAAAGCAGGCATTTTTCTCCATCTGGTAGCCAAGGAGGAAGCCAGGGAGCTTTAAAGTGGGAAGGACTCAACACACCTGCTGATTTGAAGGTGGAGGGGCCGAGTGCAAGGACCTCGGAGGAGGATGCAGACCCAGCCAACACCTTGCTCTCAGCCTGTGAGACCTGTGCAGAGAAGCCTGCTGACCTGGGTCAGGAATTCTGACCAAGGAAACTGTGAGGGAGTAGACGTCAGCTGTTTTCAGCCGATGGGTTTGCATTAATTCGTTGCAGCAGCAACAGAAAACGAAAACACATTTGGTATTAGATAAAATTCATATTTCCAGCTCTGGCCCTTGCTACATTAGTAATCTATCATTTATGCAATGGTTCTCTAACTTTTTTTGGTCTCAAGACCTCTTTGAAATCTTAAAAATTGCTGAAGATACAAACACATTTAATTTATATGGTTGTATTTGTTGATATGTATCATACTAGAAATTAAAACTGTGAAATTATTTATTTTTAACTCATTTAGAAATATTTCCACTATGTGTTAATATAAATAATATATTTTTATGAAAAGTAAGTATCTTTTATGAAAAAAATAGTGAAAAGAGTAGTTATGGTTTACATTTTTTAAAATATTTAAATGTTTGGCTTAACCAAAGACAGTTGGATCTTAAATCTTCTTCTGCATTCTATGTCTTGCAATATCACATGTCACATTGCCTCTGGAAAGCTCCACTGTGCACTCAGGAAAGAGTAAGGTTGAAAAAGGCAAAAAGTCTCTAAATATTATTGTGAAAATAGTTTTGATCTCATGGACCCTTTGAAATGTTCTCAGAAATTCCCAGTGGCCTACGGACCACACTTAAAGAATGGATAACTTAGTTTATTTAATCTTCAGTTTCCACATCTGTAAAATGAAGATAATGACCAGATTAAACTGTGTAGTCAATACAAAGCATTTGGCACGTTTTCTGAAATATAAGAAGGGCTCGGCACTTGTCGCTTATGGATATTATCATCCTTCCTCATTTGTATCTATCAACTTCTACTGCAGACAGAAATACCTCTGGCCTTGGGGATTTATTCCCTCTCAGGGTTGCCAGAACAGGCTCCATGGGAACCCACCTCTCAACTATCTAAAAGTCCCAGCCTCTCATATACCTTCATGGGGACTGTAGAAGCGTGAATTCATAAAACTGTAATAATTGTAAGAGTTTGGGTACAGATATGTGATATCTGTCTCTGGCTTATAATCTTTGAGATATTTGGAAGTTAGTGTAGAAATAGTGTGATGCTGTGGGGGACTGGAATTGGCCACCCCAAGATATGTCTCTTTGGCATGAGGATTATTTTGGGCTGGTTACTTTTAAAAACTGCAGGCAGGAAAGAAACTCTGAAAAGTAGAATTTACTTACCCTTTGTTAAGAGACATTTACATTGTAAAGAAAATCTCCATCTGTAAAGGTGTCTCCCTTTCTGTACCAAGAAGGGAGGTTGATCTTATCTCTAGAAACTCTTAGTCAATGGGGAAGGCAAGATCTCAAGTCTGCATAACAATCTATAATAATCTTACTCGTGTTTAGTGTACTCATCTGGTAACCTCCTACAACTGACTCCCCCCACCCACAACATCCTCCTTTGTCTTTAGCTGAAGATGATATTTAAGGTGGCGGCTTCAGCCATTTTGGTGAGTTACTCAGGTTGCCTGAGCCTCTCCCGTGTATACATGTTATAAAGCGTTGTTTAATTTTCTCCTGCTATTCTGTCTCATGTGAATTTAATTCGTTCTCCAGCCAGAAGAACCCAGCACGGGTAGAGGAAATGTCTTCCTCTCCTACAATGCCATTATCTGCCCTACCTCTTCCCTGGAATTTTTCCTCCAATCAAAATCAAACACAATCTTAACTCTCCCAAGAGAATGTGGGCATCTTTTTTCCTCTTAAGGAGAAGATAAATAGCTATGATATATTATGATCCTTGTGGGAATTTGAATTCTCAAGAGAAATTCAAATGTGTTTTTAATTCATCTGATTCTAAAATAAAACCTATGTTCCTGGGTTCTTGGAATAACCTTCAGCAAGTCCTCCACCTCTATCTGGGATTTACTCCTGAAAGCTGCTAAGGGAGCAGGATACCACACTTATGTTTGAGGTCTGTTTCTCACCTCTTTGGATGTTATTTGGGTCAAAGTCAATTCTGACGAGAAAATCCAGTGCTAACACATCCTTATTCAGAAGAGATTCATTTATTCTGAGAGGTGGTTATCAGTATGTGTGGTTGATATAGATCAGGGAGCAGCAGAAACCACCATGGCTATGTGAGCAAGAATGACATTCCTGGGTGATCTTCCCTCCTGAGTCACCGTGCATTGAAGTTAGATTTAATAGGCACTAAATGTCTCCCTCCCCCACCTTAGAGACCCTCTGTCTACTGTGCTATGGGCAGGAGGTCCTTGAACTCCCTCAGCATCTCTCACCATCACCTGCCAATTTAATTGGGTGTTGTGGTCAGAGCTGGCCCAACTGTCTCAGTGAGAAGAGGCTCAGAGAATGAGAGGCTTTATATCCAGGCATTGTGTCTGGACAAGGTTCTGAAATAGCCAAATTAATGAGAGGAAATTATGTATTACCTAGCCTAAATGAAGATATTGATTTCCAGGTAAACTTCTCTCAATGGAGGAGAAAATTATAGTAACAGTTGAAGTAAGTCTTTTCTTTGCTGAAACAGTGTAAAATGTAAGTTTGCTACAAAGTTATTTCTGTGTGGAATCATCCCAGGTTATCACCCTACTGTGATGATTATCTGACTTGAAATCACAGTATTTTATATAAATATCTTTCTCCTCACAAAATAGGATGGAATGATTGCCAACACTCTTGACAAGAGTTGGAAAAATAGAATGAAAAATAGAATAAAGCCCCACAGATCAGGAAACATTCTGGGTTACAGGACTGCCCAGGAAGAGAATTGCTCACACTGACCATGCAAACATTTGTTATCTGAGCCACTATTGTTTTATTCACTCTATTGGGAAGGTGACGTTTTAGGTATCACTACTGTGATGTATTCTTCTCCATTCCAGTACTGTGTCTGCTTAAGAGTTTTAATGTATCTTCAACTTTATTTTTTATATTGTTTATTTTTAACAGAAAAATGTTAATAATGGTAAGAAAGATTAAAAATAAAATGATTTATTAATTCAGATACAAAAATACCTAGAATAAAAAGTTAATAAACAAATGTTCCTACTGGGTATTAATAGATTAGGTTACTTTCAACAATATTATTATCTTTTATGCTCAGAGATTAAATGCGTTTCAGACATTGCCTATTGTGTCCAACTGTGTCTAAGTAGAATTGTGTAATACTGATGTAGCAATAATCAATGCATCAAATTTAATGAACATTTACACAGAATCCTCCCAAATGCAATCATATTTATGGAAGTGAAAGACTCTATGATTTTATCAGTTTAGTTTTCCAGCGATCAAATTCTAACTGTGAACTTCTCTAATAAGTAGAAACCATGTCTTGGTCAATAGAAACTGGCAAATAGAAGATGCTTAGTACATACACTTTTTGAACTAATAATGACAGTCATCCATTTAACAAACATTTCCTGAGTGACTGTTTCATCTATAACTATACTAGTTATTATGAGATATAAAGATGTTCATGACATATTACCTACCCACAAGACTTATTCTTGGTGAAAGGGCATCTTAGGTCAAATCAATGACTGTATAAAGCCTGTTTTTACCTTGAATTTTATCTTGAAGATTATCTAGATCTTTATAGTGAGGATGCAACTCTTTTAACTGTGATTGTTGACCAAGCCTTTGCATTTACTAGGTGCCTGAAGAGCCTTCTCAAATGAATCTACTCTAATTCCCAAGAGTAGAAAAGACCCTGTTTATAGGCTGTCTGACAACTAGCCTCTTAATGGGGCCTAGAGAAGGTCAAGTAGGCTGCCACCTTTCTCTTTATAGGAACTGACTGTAACCTGCAATAAAATGGTTCAAATGAGGAGGGCTGTGACTCCAGTGCAACACCCCTTCCGGATTACACAATGAGTGCAGTGATGGCACAGTTTTCAACCATACTAGTATTTTTGAGTGGCCCATAGGCATTTTCAACTCAATATATACTAGCCTGAAGATTTACATTTACCTAAGGCTGATATCCTTTAGAGGGATGTACAGTAATTCTCAGCATTTTTAAAATTGCTGAATTCATCTTACGCTCAGAAGCATTGAAAAATTCAACTAAAAATTATACCCATCATTTTAAGATATTTAATTCATAACCATCTGGGGATGCAATGTCTGCTCTGTTGACCTTACTGTAAGCCATGTGTGATAAAATCACTTTATATTTATGTAACATTTTAAAGTGATGTTGGTATTGATTATATAAAAATATTGTTTAACTTGCAATTTCTGTACAGATAAGAACTTTCCCCTTTTAAATAGTAAAGAGTCAAATAATCACAGATGTTGTTCACTGAGGAAACAGGAGTTCCTCTCAAGCCAGAAACTGGAATTTAGAAGAAAACACAAGGTTAGATACTACATGAGAAATCTACATCACTTGTTCTTAATAATATAGGCATGAAGACGTCTAGAGAGGACGCCTGAGTAGTGGTGTCAGGTGGTTTCTTTCACATGGAACCATATGGATCCTGGGGAGTAAGAAACACAAACAAATTTCACATTAAATTTTGTCATCTCCTTGAATTAGAGGGTAGGTAGCTCAAGGAGCAGGTGAAATCAAAGAACAATAATAAGAGAATTTCACTGATTAATCAAATAGCTATACACATTATAAATCAACTTGTGCTTAAACTTTGTGGGCTATTAAACTCCATTTAATGTTTTTCTTCTTTCTCAGTATCTAATATCAAGCAGAGATAAGAATGAACCAAAGGAGGCTGATGTTAAGCAGGCTTTCACCAAAGCATTAAAAGAGGCTCAAAGCCCCTTTGGGAGCCAGCATGAAAGGAACAGCTGTAAAAGTCGGACAACCACATAGGGAAGGGGAGCTTGGGATTATAGAATCACGCTCTTAAGTTAGACACCCCTTCCCACTGGTGGTCCTTACAGGGGTAAGTCTTCCTATATCTGGATTTTTTGCTTGTTTTACTTTTAGGTGACTAGAGACAGATAAATACACACACATAGAGAAATAAATTGTGTGATTTATTTGACTGCACACTTTAAAGTCTCAGAATTTATTATAAGGGCTCATAAAAAAACACAAATTCGTATGTATAAAATTTAATCACTGAAGTCTAATATTGTAAAAATCTAATGAGGAGATAATATATTAATTAAATTTAAATATTTATATTGAAGGAAATGGTATGCAGCTGTTCAAAGTATGTTGTAGGGAAATATTTTGACATGGAAAATTATTCCGAGGTGTTTCTAAATGGAAGAAATACGTAAACTAGCAACAATGTTTCTGTATTTTTTTTAATTCATGATATATATGAAAATACATGTACAGTAAAAGGTATAACTGTATATACCAACCATTAACAATGATCATCTGTGAATTCATGTTTCAGATATTACTTTTTTAGTCTTTTAAATACAGTTTCATAATGTTTTACTAAGAAGATTTTGAAACTTGATGTCAGAAGCTCATACGAGGTAGGTACCACTTTATTCACACAATCAACCATGCTCTTAAAACTCTAATCTCTAAATTTAAAACGTTAAGGTCTGTAATTTTCTAACCAGGAGTAAAACAAAGAAAATAATATAAACGTTATAATAAGGTGCTACTTACAAACATATATTTTGCCTAAAAATAAACCACTGAAGAATTTCAAGACCATTTTCTTCATGCTAATATTAATTTAGTGAAATAGATTTGACTCCATAAAGGAAGTCAGTTAAGATATGTTACATTTTCAGAAGTAGTTATAAGAATCTGATATCCTCTACAAAAGCTTATATACCTTCCCCAATCATATGCTCGTTCTTCTTGGTAAGGAAGTTAGAAATTTGGCAAAAATCATGATAAAAATATAAAATATTAAAATCCAGATATTGGTTTATATGATTCTTCACTAAAAGGAACCAGATTTTTTGGAGAAATGGCTATGTCCATGGCTGAAGTGGAGAATGTATCAGAAGAGCTTGAAACATCTTATAATATTAGAAGTGAGGAAGTCCTCAAAATGTATGGAAACATGTTAATAGAACAAAGGCGTTTGGAGTTCTTATCAAAACTTGGAGGGTTCATATATGGGACGATTAAGCATGTAATGAGAATAAATAATTGTAATCCCTTGATAAAAACATTGATGAGTCCATATTGATAGATAGATGAGAGAGAACGATTGATACACACGACATAGAGCTAAATACATGATAGATAGATAGATAGATAGATAGATTGGTAGATGGATGGATAAGTAGATAGGCCCTTACCTTATACTAAAATTGACTATTAATAAATATAAAAGTGATGAAAGAGTTAGAACAGCACGTTTTGAAATAATCATTACCAGTAATTGAGTCTAGCAAGATCCCCAATGGATGCTGAATTAGTGGCTGAAACCTTTATGAGGAAGAGAATATTTGTATATTAATTTTAACGGATGCTCCAGAAATTGCATTAGAAAAGAATAATGATTTTATAATGGAGATACTTGGGAGGCTGCATCTTCACAAAGTGCTCCAAGTGAGTGTCAGCAATAATGGGTCAAATTAACCTCATGCGCATGCTCATGGAATACACTGAGGAGGATACTGGTTTTTCCTGTAGAAAGTGAATAATGCGATTCAAAAACGAGAAACTTCATACAACACCAATTTGAGGAACAATTCACTAAAGAACTGCTCTGTAATCTTCAAAAATATCAGTGTCATCAAAGGCAAAGAAAAGTCTGAGCAACTATTCCAGATGAAAGGAGAATCAACGTAGATGACATTAAATATAATATGTAACCTTGGATTGGGTCCTGGATGGGGGAGGATTAGAGAGAGAATATTGTAGATTAAAGAATCATGTCAGTATTAAATTGCTTGATTTTGATAATTCTATTGTGGTTAGATTAGTGAATATCTTTGTTCTTGGTGAAAATAAGATGAATTTAGGGGTAAGTGGGCATGATATCTACACTTTCAACTCAAATGATTCCAGAAAAAAAATACATATATATAGATAAAAAAGAATAAGGCAAATATGACAAAAAATTTAAAATTCGTTGAATTGGGTGAATGTATATGTGAATTCTTTGCATAATTTTTGACACTTTTTCTGTAAGTTTAAATTTATTTCATATTAAAAGTTAGAAACATGAAGGAAACCATTTTGGGGGAGTAGGGGAAGCTGTCAAGTAGGAACAAGGCTACAACCTTTCTCTGAGCTCATTTTGAGATAAACAACTCCAATTTTTGTTGATTCTCAGGCTCTGACCCTTTATCATATTTCAGTCCTTGACAAACTGTCATTAAGAAATGGGAAGCAACCAGTCATGGGTCACAGAGTTCGTCTTGGTGGGATTCGAGCTCAGTGCAGACTTGGAAGTGCTCCTCCTCTGGGTCTTCTCCCTGTTCTACATCTTCAGTCTGTTGGCAAATGGCGTGATCTTGGGACTCATCTGTCTGGACCCGAGTCTACACACCCCCATGTACTTCTTCCTCTCACATCTGTCCATCATTGACATGTCCTATGCTTCCAGTAATGTGCCCAAGATGTTGGCAAACTTAGTGAACCACAATAGAACCGTATCCTTTGTTCCATGCATTATGCAGACATTTTTGTATTTGGGTTTTGCTGCTACAGAGTGCCTGCTTTTGGTGGTGATGTCCTATGATAGGTTTGTGGCGATCTGCCACCCCCTCCACTACACTGTCATCATGAACTGGAGAGTGTGCATGGTCCTGGCTGTCTCTTCCTGGTCATGTGGATTTATTCTGGCTCTGGTACATGCAATTCTCCTTCTCAGGTTGCCCTTCTGTGGACCCCGGAAAGTGAACCACCTCTTCTGTGAAATTCTGTCTGTCCTCAAGCTGGCCTGTGCTGACACCTGGATCAACCAAGTGGTTATCCTTGCTGCTTCTGTTTTTGTCTTAGTTGGGCCTCTCTGCTTAATGCTAGTTTCCTATATGCGCATCGTCTGGGCCATCCTAAAGATCCAGTCAAAGGAGGGCGGCACAAAGGCCTTCTCCACCTGCTCCTCCCACCTCTGTGTGGTTGGACTCTTCTTTGGCATCGCCATGGTGGTTTATATGGTCCCAGACTCCAATCAACAAGAAGAGCAAGAGAAAATACTGTCCCTGTTTCACAGCCTCTTTAACCCCATGCTGAACCCCCTCATCTACAGCCTGAGGAATGCTCAGGTGAAGGGGGCCTTGTATCGAGCACTGCAGAAGAAGAGGCCCATGTGAAGGGTAGACAGAATGTTGTTTGATTGCAGATTTCCTTTTAAAATATGTGCTTTGTGAAGCAAAATGTCAAAAAAATTTCCCACTTTGAATTTTGATGCAAAAATGGTACCGGCCCAAATTTTAGCTCTGAAAATAGGGCGAAGTTCCAAGGCAAAGCATATCTTCTAAACTTTAAAGACCATGTTAGGAAATGTGGCAGCTAAATAATCGGAATATTTACTCTGTCTTTTAAGAAATATTGAATTCTCTTTATTTTGGAAGCCAAGAATACTAATGTATGGAGAAAAAATTTAAATGTCGGAAAAGGATATCAATACATTTCTCTGGCTTACGTATTTAGACATAGATGACTTCTTCTCACCTTGTGGTAGCTGGAAACAGTGCAGTAAAATTAATACCATGAGAGACAACTTCCAAAGGAGACTTAAAATTTCAACAAAGAAAATACTACAGAATTATATGACTCTTCTTCCCCAATTGTGAGGCCAATGAAATAAGAGTTTAGAGAAACTCTAGATTACTTGGTGGAATAATTTAGAAGTAAAGGGAAAAAAGTTAGAGAGAGATTTATTCCAACAAGAAACTGTATAAAAAATCCTCAAATATATTAAAAGTTTAAGATTTGGTCAAAAGGAAATTCATTAGTCAATATGTAAATAGTTCCAGAGATAAGGGTTTTGAATATTGCTTAAACATTACACTTATTTTGGGGTCATGATTTTTCTAATAATGTAAAATTTAATCCTGTTGGAATTCTTGAAAATTTTCCCACCAAAATTTGTGTACTCTTTGAACCAAGTAAGCTGAAGATGGTTTGGGGTAGCACCAAGCAGCATGAGACAACTAGGATATAGCCAACATCATTTGTCCTTCACGGCAGCAAGAATTCCTCTGGTTGTATGAAACAGTATTGAACAACCGTCTTTGGGACGCTAAGAAGGATTCAATAAGTTAGGATTTCTCCCTTTTTGTAAAAATTCAATATTTACATATATTGCAAAATGATCACCACAGTAAGTCCAGTTAACATCCTTCACTATACATAGTCACAAAATTTTTTTCCTGTGACAAGAACTTTTAATGTCTTATCTCACCCTCTTTCACATATACCGTACAGTATTATTAACTATAGTCATCATGCTGTATGTAAATACCCAAGATTTATTTATTTTATAACTCTCAGCTTGTCCTTTCTGACCCCTTTCACCCGTTTTTCCCACCCTCCCACCCCTTCCTCTGGCAACCACCAATTTGTTCTCTGCATCTATGAGGTCTTCTTTGTTTTTTTGTTTTTAGATTCCACCTGTAAGTGAGATCATACAATATTTGACTTATTTCACTTAGGCTAGTGCCCTCAAGGTGAATCCATGTTGTCAAAAATGGCAAAAGTTCCTTCTTTTTATGGCTCAATAATATTCCATTGTGAGGTGTGTGTATCTGTGCACGCTTCCATGTGTATACACACCACATTTTCTTTATCCATTTATCTATCGATGACAGTTAGGTTGTTTCCATGTCTGCAGTGTAATAATGCTGCAGTGAACAGGGGGGGGCAGAACCTTTTTGAGTTAGTGCTTCCTTTCCTTTGGATAAAGAGCCAGAAATGGGATTGTTAGACCAGATGTTCTATTTTTAATTTTTTTGAGGAAACTCCATGCTGTTTTCCCTAGTGGCTGCACCAATTTACCTTCCCACCAATAGTGCACAAGAGTTCCCTTTTCTCCACATACTTGCCAGCATTTATTATTTCCTGTCTTTTTCAGAATAGGTATACTAACAGGTGTGAGGTGTTATCTCACTGTGGTTGCGATTTGCATTTCTCTGATGACTAGTGATGTTGAGTACCCTTTCATGTACCTGTTGGCCATCTGTATATCTTCTGAATGGAAGAATGCCCATTCAGATCCTCTGCCGATTTTTTAAGCAGATTGCTTGTTTTTCTATTGAGTTGTATGAGTTCTTTACATATTTTGAATATTAACCCCTTAACAGATAGATGATTGTAAATATTTTCTCCCATTTGGTAGGTTGCCTTTTCGTTTTGTTTATGATTTCCTTTGAGGTGAAGAAGCCTTTTAGTTTTATTATAAAATGTATCATGATGTTAATTTTTCTCTATTTTTTGACAAGTCATGAAAACTTTATCTCAAGAGTTATAAAATTCTAGAATGAGTACAAAATTAAACATAATTAACTTTCATTTGAAAAATATATAGTACCCAAAGCATAAAATATACTGTATTCAAGACTATAACAAAGAAAGGTGCTGAAAAAGACAACCAACCAAAAAGATGAGGTCCAGCGTGCTGCCCTAGATGTTTAATCTGCCTAAACAAACACAGAAACACTTTACTGAGCAGAGGATCATCATCTATGCACACTTCCTTTCCTTGCGTTTTTTTTCCATCATAATTTTGCGTCTAAATTGTTCATGTGCTGGCAGTATATGATTGTAATTATAATTGTTTTTTTGGCAGAGATTCCCTAGATTTATTCACAGTTCTTTTTTTCTATTGCAGTAACATTGGTTTAAACTTTATATAACTTTCAGGTGGACATCATTATGTTTCCTTTTTCGTGTAGATTACATCATGTTCACCCCGCAAAGATTAATTTGATTGTAATTATAATTTAAAACTAAAAGCAATTCTATGTTTCTTCACTTCTCTGAGGAAATAATTATATGTCTTTGGAACATAAATTGCCAGAACTTTTAGAGTTATAAATGCTTCAAAGAATAATTAATACCTTTCTGAAACATGAAATAGAAGATAGTTTTAGAGAAGATTATAGTTCTTCAACTCAGTCCTTCCAATGAGAATAAAAAAATTGGCTTGACTATTGCCCAAAGTCAATACTTCAGGTTCTAAGATGTCAGCCTATATACTCTTTTAATTAACTTAAATATATTCAACAATGTAAGCAAGCTTTGTACTTCTTTCTCTCAAACCTGGCCATTGTGAACATGTCCTAGGCCTCCAGCACTGTCCCTAAGATGCTGGCAAATCTTATAATGCAGGAGAAAACTGTCTCCTCGCTCCATGCATCCTTCAGACTTTTCTGTATTTGGCATGTGCCGTCATGGAGCGTATGAGTTTGGTGGTGATGTCCTATGATCAGTACGTGGCGATCTGTCATCCCCTGCATTACACTGTCAGCATGAGCTGGAGAGTGTGCACTGTCCTGGTGGGCCACTTACTGGCTATTCAGCTTCCTCTTGGCTCTGGTCCAAATTACTCTTATTCTGAGGCTGCCCTTTTGTGGGCCACAAAATTCAATCACACCCTCTGTCAAATCATGTCAGTATTCAAATTGGCCTGTGCTGACACTAGGCTCAACCAAATTGTCCCCTTTGTGGGCTCTGTGTTTGTCTTAGTCGGGCCCCTCTGCTTGGATCTGGTCTCCTACACATGCACCCTGTTTCCCATCCTCAGCGTCTAGTCTGGGAAGGGCCACAGAGAGGCCTGCTCACATGTTCCTCCCGCCTATACCTGGTTGGGCTCATCTTTAGCAGTGCCATCATCACATCCCTGGCTCTCAAATCCAACCATTCTCAAGAACAAAGGAAAAGCCTATCATTGTTTCACAGACTTTGCACCCCTATACTGAATCCCCTGGTCTACAGCTGGAGGAACCCAGGGCTGAAGGGTGCCCTGACGAGATCTGTGGGAAGAAGAGATCAGTGTGAGGGATGGTTTGTAGTACCCTGAGTGTGTGAGCTTGTTCACACAATTCTGGCTCCTTGAATACCCTTTTGTGTCCTTTAATGTAACAAACCCAGTACCCTTGATCTTTAGAGTTCTTATAAGGTTAGAAAATAAATACTCACACTGTTTAAGCCATTGACACCAAACCTGAGATAAACATTATGAAACAGAAAATCACAGTCTGATCCTATTCATGAACATAGATGAAAATATCTTAAAGAAAATATTAGTAAAAGAAGTCCATAAAATAAAATATTACATTATAATAAAGTTTTTCTCCCAAAAAATGCAAGAATTAACACTAAAATAAACAATGAAAAAGATTTGCCACATTCACAAACTAAAGGATACACATCATTAGATAAAAAACAATTTTTAAGAAAATGCAACACCAATTCATGATAAAACACTTTACAACCTAGTATAACAATAAACATTCCTAAAGAAGGTCTATGTTGTTATTGCCATGGAGTCGGTTATGACTCCTTGTGACCCTGTGTACAGCAGACCCCAACGCTGCCTAGATTTTTTGTGCCATCTCCTCACCTTCCGGTGCTACCTCAGACAATGCTCCGCTGCTATTTGTAGGGTTTTCATGGCCAATTGTCCCAGAAGTGGGTGTTCCTCCTACTCTGTGTTAGTTTGGAAGTGCCACTGAAACCTGTCTTCCATGGTTGACCCTACTGGTATTTGAAATACTGGTGGCATAGCTTTCAGTATCTTAGCAACATGCAGCCACCATAGTATGACAATTGACAGATGGAGCTGTGGTTCCCTGACCAGGAAATGAACCCCAGCTGTAGCAGTGAGAGCACAGAATCTTAACCACTAGACCACCAGGGCTGGCTAAAGAAGATCTAGGAAAAAAATAAAAGAGAAAGAAAAAACACACACACACCAGACCTCATACTTCATACTTAGTGAAATGCTGGCAACTTTCCCGGTAAGACAAAGAATAAGAGAAAGATGTACACCAGCACCACTTGTTTTTCTTGTTTTCGACTTTTTCTAGAGATCCTAACCAGTACAGTTAGACAAAAAGCAGAAATACAAGCGCACACACATTTTGAGTTGGAATGAACAAATTGTGATAAGACATGATTGCATATGTAGGAAATCCAAAGGAATCTTTTGATATTTATTAAAATTTTAAGAAAATTCAACAAGGCAGCTTGATGCAAAATCAACATGAACATCTATTATATTTTACACAGCAATAACAAATAATTAAAATAAAATTTTACCAAATGCTACCATAGACAACAGGACTTAATTTTGAAACGCTTAGAAAGAAGTCTAACAAACAATATACAAAAACTGTAAAGAGACAATTAGAAAAATTTATTGAGGCACTATGGTAACTAAATACACAAATATACAAAGAGAGAAACGCCAGGTTCTTAGATTGGGAACCATAATATTATGAAGATTCAACCTCTTTGAATTGATTAATGTATGGAATGTATCCTAATCAATATCCTACAGTATCCCAGCAGAATGAATGGGTGTGCGCAGAACTCAAGAAGCTGATTCTAAAATACAAGGGGCCAAGGTTAGCCCACACACTTTCAGGACAGATAAAGTACAAGGTGGGAGGATTAGATTCTCCAGATCATAAATGTACTGCGAAGTCCTAATACCTTAAAGTGTGGCATTCATCCAGGGGTTGACCAACAAAGAAACTGAGCAGAACACAAAACCTAGAAGCAGATTCATGCCTCTCTGACACTTGCTACATGAGAGATGTGGCATGGCCGTTCCCTGGGGAAAGGAAGGGCTTTGCAGTAAACAGTGATAGCACAACTGAGTAACCATAGAGATACTCAGCCCTGCAGAAAACTCAGCTCCTAGTGTTTTCAAAACCTAAGTGTCGAAGGCAAAACTACAAAGCTTTTAGAAGATATGAAGGGGAAAGATTTTTAAAATAATATGTAAAATAGTTTGCCACAAAAGGAAACATTGATATATTTGATTAGAGTGAAATCAAGACTCTCTTTAATCAATACAGAGCACAAAAAAAGTGAAAACACAAGATACAGAATCCTCTTCTACCAGCCCTTCTAATGGATCAGGTCTCAAGCATCACCTCCTCAAAGACGAGCATATTGCAAACACTCTCACTTGCCTTAAGGGACTTTCAACCATATCACTCCAGTTCTTTGTACCCAAATCACTTTACAAAATAAACAAACCTTAAGAATTAAAGCAGAATACAGGTTTTCTTCTGGCAATACGGTGGATGAGCCATTTTCAGATGTTTTGGTAGGAGGATTTTCCAGTATAAAAGTATTCAAAATTGATAAAGAAGCAAAAAGAAATTCTTTTGTCAATCTTTCCCTTCTTTTTTAAAGATTGGCACCTGAGCTAACAATTGTTGCCAAGCTTTTTTTTTTTTTCTGCTTTTACTCCCCAAATCCCCCCAGTACATAGTTGTATATTTTAGTCATGGGTCCTTCTAGTTGTGGCTTGTGGGATGTCTCCTCAGCATGGCTTGATGAGCGGCACTATGTCCATGTCCTGGATTCAAACCAGCGAAACACTGGGCCTCGGAAGCGGAGCTCGCAAACTCAAAACAGTCGGCCCCAGGGCCACCCCTGTCTTTCCCTTTTCACCAAGAAGGAAAATCTTTCCCAGAAGCACTCCCTCTAATCACATTTCTTCTTGTATTCCATTGACCAAAATGGGGCCAAATGGCCATCTATAAAGCAGTCACTGATAAAGAGGATGAAATTGATAGTTTGGTTTAGATTTATCCTTGTTTAATCCTCTCTGGCACCAGATGAGGTCTACTTTCTCTGATAACTCTACTACCTAGTACCTGAAGAGATGAGTACTAGGTCAGCAAGGAAGGGGGTAAGGGCCAGAGGGCAGACAACTAGCAGTACCTGCTAAATGGTTTAAGTTCTGAAGCAAGCCTTCTGAATCCTGAGAAGCAGGAAATTGAAGTGTGCTAAGTATTCCATACTTTGGTTTTAGGGATCCAATGGATACTTTCTCCAGATAAGACATAATGTTTTAAAAACCTAATGGCTACAATCTCTAAATATAAAGGAAAATTATTCTTGTGTCAAGAAGATTGTCTTAAGAAATTTATCTTGTAGCTAAAAATTATGAAGTAGAATGAGTATTTTAGTTGTATAGTGGGTACTTTCACTTCTGCTACAATAAAAAACATATATGCTTAAAAATAGCATGAGGAGTATGAACCAATTTTTATAAAAAAATATTTATCATTGTCTATTTATCCTTCTCTTCTTATATTTCTCTAAGGGCACAGAGATATGTGGGATTTCATTAACAAAATGTGTGGGTGGTGTGGCTGTATATTTCTGAATTGCTTAACTTGCTTTTATATTGGGAAAATATTCTTTTTACATGCAAAATAAATATAAAAATACTTTCCTAAAATATCATGGGATTACATTTTCATTAAATTATTCATCAGTCTGTCTTATTTGTCTTGGATCTGTATATATTCATGGAGAAATCATTGGCATATTAAGCTACTAATCCTAACGGTTATTTCAATGTACTGTGATTTGGAATAAGTTTAGATTTTTCCTTTGTACTTTTCAGAATTCCTTTTAATTTTACGTATGGAGCTTATGTCTTTTTACAACGAATATTCCATTTTTTTCCTTAAACATGGTGGGAGAGGGAGGATGGTAAACAGAGGTAGGGACTTTTAAGAAAAAGGTCACACGAGTGCATCTCTTCTGTTTACCAGTAAATGTGAGCAAGGGGAATGCAGACTTGATTCTCTTGATCAATTGTGTCCCTCAGCACCTATACCCTAAACTGCGCCTGCCACATTCCAGGTCTATGGTAAACATTCGATTAAGGAAGATAGTGGTGGTCAGTACCCAGTCGTCAAGCCCTGAGCAAAATTCAATGGAGTGTTGTGATCCCAGTAATCAGCCCAATCAAGGGGAGGCAATTGCTGGAGAAGTCTACTGCTGTAAGAGAGAAAAGCATCCCCACGTGAAGCCCATTCACTCCCAGCACAGCAGCGGTAGCAAGGAGTTTGAAAAGAAAACTCTTTATTAGGCCAATATATTCCTCACCTGACTTTCTAAGCAGGAAGTGGGTATCAATTAAGTACTTACAGCTACAAGGAAGAAAGGTGATGTCACTAATTGCCTGTTTTACCCTCTGCTTGGACCCTTGTGCCCATTGCTATTGCTTTCTACACATGTCAGTGCTCCCCAGCCACTTCAGACAATATGTCCATCCCTCAGGAGATTTCCCTTCTCGTTCTGTTTGCACTGGCTATTTCCTAGCAATTCCATCTGCCTTTGTCCTGTGTTGGACCCCTTAGTTCATTAATCTCACATCTTCCTCTTTCTTGGTTTACTCCCTTGTTTTGATGAAGCACACCCAAAAACAGCTTCTTTGGTTAAAAACATGTACCATGACAGAAGTTATGGTGAAAACAGTCATCAATACTTCTAATTTTTCATCATGGCATATATTATTTTATTTTTTTCAAATGCCCTGATGATATTCTATGTGCCAAGTGGACCTAAAAAAAAAATTACAGGACTCCAGCCCTCTGAAGGAGGAATTATTGTCACAGAGAAGGCATAATATTAAAATGATATTTAAGTGTAGCTCTAGGTGCTGTATTGCGACCTGCAAACACTGTTATCTCTAAACTGAACTTAATTTAATAAAGGTCCATCAGGAACGATGGAGCCAAGCCTGTTTTGTAATGTTTATTCTTACTACAAAATAAAATATTAATCAATGTAAATATTAATACCACTCATAAGAAGTTTAATACTTTCTATAGTAAATATTTTTGCTCCATCGAGTTCAAAGATTAAAAGCAAAAAAAAAGGAGACAAAGCATGGAACCTCTTTGATCTACCATAGGCTGTGTTAAATGTCGCCCTACTGTCATCACCAAAAGAAATAACAGTGGTAATTATGCATATCTGAATGAACATGTGCTAAATTTTTATCCTTAGGTCTGAGTGTTGGTAAGTAAAATATGTTTTCTGGAATAATCTTGCTTTGTTTATAAAATTATAGGAAAGATGAACAATAAAAAATACTAAACACAATACATTGTTGAAGCACAGCCTTGAAGGATGCTATAATAAGTGCTCTTTGTCTACCAGAGTACGTTAATTTGGTTGGGATAGTTGAGGATGGCTCCATGACTGTTTTAAAGGATTGGGTTTATGTTTCAAGTCCAATGCGTAATACAAGCAGAAAATTAACTTGAAGTAAGGACTAAGAATTTCAAGATCAAGAGTCCTGGGGAGTAGGAGTTGAATGAAGTAGGGAGCATGTGTTGGAGAATAAGGAGCTAAGTGGAGTGAGGTTCTATTGGACATACAGGCTATTTTAAGAAAAGAGATAATCGAATTTTGCCTCCTCTTAAATATTCTTTTTCTACTCTCCAATAGATTAAGTGTATTCCTTCTACTTTGAAGCTCTCCTTCCACCACAGTTGAAGAACTAAGACTCTCTAGAGAGCTAGATTACGATAGACACTTAGGAATTTAGACCTGGAAGGACTTGACAATCATCAAATGTTATCGCCTGGGGCAAGACAGAGCGTGTGAGAGAGACAGAGAGGTATATTTTAACTATAGGTCTTCACTCAGACTGCAGAAATAAAAATATGGCTCAGAAATCTGGAGATGTTGGAAGTGGAGGGCAAAATAAGAAAATTAAAGGAGAGGT